CTTCTCTCCAGGAAAAACATCAGGGACAGACTGATATTCTGCAAAAGGTACAGGGATTGGACTGCTGAGGACTGGGGTAAAGTCATTTTCGCTAATGAAACCCCTTTCTGATTGTTTGGGGCATCCAAAAAAAAAAAAAGCTTGTCTGGAGAAGAAAAGGTGAGCGCTACCATCAGTCCTGTGTCATGCCACCAGTAAAGCATCCTGAGACCATTCATGTGTGGGGTTGCTTCTCAGCCAAGGGAGTGGGCTCACTCACAATTTTGCCAAAAAACACAGTGATGAATAAAGAATGGTACAAAAACATCCTCCAAGAGCAACTTCTTCCAACCATCCAAGAACAGTTTGGTGACGAACAATGTCTTTTCCAGCATGATGGAGCACCTTGCCATAAGGCAAGAGTGGTAACTAAGTGGCTCAGGGAACAAAACATCGAAATTTTGGGTCTATGGCCTGGAAACTCCCCAGACCTTAACCCCATTGAGAACTTGTGGTCAATCCTCAAGAGGCAGGTGGACAAACAAAACCCCACAAATTCTGACAAATTCCAAACATTGATTACGCAACAATGGGCTGCCGTCACTCAGGATGTGGCCCAGAAGTTGACTGACAGCATGCCAGGGTGAATTGCAAAGGTCTTGAAAAAGAGTCAACGCTGCAAATATCGACTCTTTGCATAAACTTAATGTAATTGTCAATAAAAGCCCTTGACACTTATGAAATGCTTATAATTCTACTTCAGTATACCATAGTACCATCCGACAAAAAAGATCTAAAAACACTGAGGCAGCAGACTTTGTGAAAATTAATCATTTGTGTCATTCTCAAAACTTTTGGCCACAGCTGTCCTGTTCACTGTGGGGACATGATATGCACTATGTATGTGGACACACGATAGTGAGTCTTAGACTGTGTGTGTGTGTGTGTGTGTGTCAGTATAACATTTGTTTCACTTTCTCTCTGATCCAAGTTGACTGCCTCATGATGTGATCAAGGTCTTGCACATTTTAAATTAAAAATTTGTTTAGCTTTTCAGAGCTGAACTGGAAAGCCTCAAACATAACAGAATACTACGCTGCTGAACTTGAACTAATGAAATACTTTTAGGTTGATTTAGCAGCTTCATAAAGAAAGGTGAGGATATCTACACATCCTGCAAACACAAACCAGTCATGTGCAATCTCGGTAAAATGAAAATGACTGTAGTTTGTATATCTGTATACAGAATGTGCTTATTACCGTTCAAAAGCAATGTTGCGTGTGTTGAGGTGCGTGGAGACAATGGGCGACGTCAGTCTCTGGGCCGTATTCTCCTGTGATGGCTGCATGGCTGCCAGGAGGGAGGGTGCGTCACGGGGCGACAACACAAGAGGCTCTGTGTACACTACCTGCTTCTCATGGTCCACCTCCATCACCACGGCCCCATCATCTAGAAAATCAGCCAACAGGTGAAAAGGAAAGGCAGAGGACATAATACCTAAATGAAGGTCTAACAAAAAGATTAGACATAGAACTATGAATGTTACAGACTGATTGAAAAGTTTGTTTCTGCATAATCAAAGGCCTCATCATGGAATTAGAAAAAATGCCAAGTGTCTAGTGGAACTGAGACTTAGATCAGCATTGATCAGCTTTAGCTACTCAGTTAGTCGTACTAAAGGGACAATACACACCTCCACCCTTGAAGATATAGCTGCGTCGTCCTTTCAGCCAGGTCATGTGTTCGAAGCCCAGGAGGGTGGTATCCACACGCAGGCATGAGCCGCT